GAGTTGCCAGGCTCGGCGCGGAGCTTTGTCTTGTTAGCTGCCGCCATGCGAGTCTATGGGTCTCTATGCGAGTCTGCGGGTCTCCGTGTAAGTCCATGGGCCTCCATGCGAGTCTATGGGTCTCTATGCGAGTCTGCGGATCTCTGTGTAAGTCCATGGGTCTCCGTGTGAGTCTGTGGGTCTCTATGCGAGTCTGCGGATCTCTGTGTAAGTCCATGGGTCTCCGTGTGAGTCTGTGGGTCTCCGTGTGAGTCTATGGGGCTCGGTGAATTTGTGGGTCTCGTGGATTTTGCGTGTACGGTGTGGCGTGGGGAACCTGAATGGGTTCCGAACAAACGCGCTGAGACCGCCAACACCACCACTTGAGGAGGCTCCCTTGCCCAAATGGGCATGGCATGGGTGGCGCTCATACTTGGTCACCCTCAGCCAGTGGTGGAAATTCCATATTCTCATGCCGGGAGCCAGACTATACCTGCTGTTGACTTTGCTCAAAGTGTCGATGATTTTATTGACCCCGCAGAGATGATCGGCTGGGTTGCCACCCGAAGAGAATTGGACAAAGGTATAAATGTTTGTTTTGTTGGCAGATGCTGCACATTCCCTGTTACACTACTTCCTCCGCAAGCGGCAGCTTAAGCAATTTTAGAGATTTTTCAATGCATTTATTATCCTCGGCCCGAGAGATTATATTTCAATGCGTGCATGGTCGGGCGCGTTCTTTTTGTATTGTGCTCAGGAGATGGCACGTATCGTTTTACACCGGGGATCTCTGTCAAGAGCTGCCTTTTTTTGCGGTTTGGAGGCTCGCACACAGGAGCCCATTCTCTCTAAACCGTATTGGTCTTGTCGAGGTGAGAACGTGGAGTCATCGGCGCGTGAAATGTCAGAGCCCGGGCGATAGCGCGCTGCGGAATTTCGCTCCCAGCTTCTGTCGGGCGGGCTGCGGTTGGCTCGAGACAGGTTCGCACGGTCGCTGTGTTTGCTTCGTGAACTGAAGTGAGTCCATTCACACACCAAGGCCTCCCGCGTCCAAACCCTGCGCGCTCCGATTAACCGCACGCATTGGGATCTCGGCATTGGTGGTCGTTTGCCACCGCTGGATTCTGCAATGAATAGGCTCAGTGGGGCACCCTCACCGACACCTAATACCAATGTGGGTATTGGCTTTATACTGTTTTATTTTGTGGTAAATCATTACCCGTGTTTGCGTTGCACTTACCGCAACGCGTCGATTATAGGAAGACACGTCACTCTCTCGACATTCGAGTCAACAAACGCGTGTCATCGTTTTTTCGCGGTGCTTGGCAAGCAACGCTACCCCATCGACGACGGAGTTTAATGTAGCACGGCGGCGCAGGAGAGATCGCCGCGGGCATCTCCTGTTGGAAATCGCCTTACTCGTGCACTCAGTGGATCTCTGTTTCATTCGCTCTCCCCTTCACTGTGCAATCTCACAGTCATTTACATTCCGTAGCTCGTGCACTCTGTAATCCGCAAGTTTCTCTGCGGTTGTGATATTACGATTCTTTATTTTAAAACAGCATCAATGCCATGAGACAAGGTTTCCATCCAGATATCTCAGGCGGCAGGGAAACCCTTCGTGTTGCAGAATGGCACGTGGAAGTGGATATCACAAAGCTACCTCTGATTAGCGCAGTGGGCTATGTAGGGTACGAAAGAAGTTAAACTTACATAAGTACATCGAAATCCCTCAAAGTGATTTCTAGTTTTAAATGATAGGGCAGCACTTTCCGACCTACCCTGCATGTGACAGTAATGGCAGTGAGGCCGATATCTTCTTAATTATTAGAGCCAGAATGTAACCAGATTGAGTAAAGAACAAACCGAATGTGATGTGATGGGGTTTTTTTGTGAACTGTCATTGGTGACTGGGCTGAGATCCTTCAATTCACGCGGCTTGAGAGGCCAGCTTAGGCCGCGAGCGGCTGCCTGGATTCAAAACCCCCGAGGACCTCAGCGGTGCCAGTGCTGGGCACTCTGACCCCCGAGCCGGCATGCGGTGTGGGTGTCCACCCTCGGTGGTGTGGGTGTCCACCCTCGGCGGTGTGGGTGTCCACCCTCGATGGCTCTGACTTCTCCCAGAGAGCTCTGCACCGCTGCACCGACACCGAGCTGGCACCGCGATCCTGACGCACGCGGGGAAGCCGCACACCTTCGTGCACTTCGTCGCTGCCACCATCGCCACTCACCGCACCGCCACGCACCACACCACAAGCGCCACGCACCACACCACACCGCACAGCCATGGACCACATCACGACCACACCACCACCACGCATCACACCACGACTGCACCACGACTGCACCACGACTGCACCACACCTCTCTGCGCCGTGCGCCGAGTGGCGCCTGGCGGGGGGGCCGCTTCTCAGTTTGGGGGAAATGACGGAGGAGCTTGTCCTGAGCTTTCATCGCAGTGTTGCACCGATTAGACCCCACGATTCCCTCTGAACATGGGGAGGAAAACGGCTTGAGGATGTAAGGGTGCAGTTTAAAAAAAAAGCCTTAAAATAAATTACGAACATTTTATGTTGAACTTCTTTTGCACCGTACGTAGGCAACCGTGCTAATCAGAGGTGTAGGAGGACAACAAACTAAGCACAAAGAGCGGTTCTAAAGAGGTGAGTTCTCAATCTGGATTTAATTTACGGTCAAATGAAGGGCTTCCGCTTTCTCCATATAATGTCAATTATCATTTCAATTTGTGACACGCTGCCACCGCACAGTATGGGCTCACTGTCGTAGAGAGAGGACGTCTCATGGGCACGAGGAGGAACCGCACCACAAGCGGCAAGGCGGCCGGGCAGTGAGCCGGCGCCAACAATTGCCCAAGCTCTGCGGTCCTCTATATATTAAGGCGTTATCGGCTAATTAACGAGTGTTTACATGTGGCGACGCCGTCATTTACCCACCAGTTGTGAGTCTCACTCACAGCCACGGTCATAACCCCCATGCGCATACGATATCAAGCCGTGCAGGATCTAATCTGGGTAAGCACAGTAAAGATAGTGCCACATTTACGACGCTCGCAGTCAAAAATCTAAGAACCAACGTTGAATTATTTCACGAGCAACGGCGGCGTGAGCGCTTAGCGTGTCTAAATGTGACCGCGCGTCAATTCCGGTTCCCTCAATCGGGTGAGAACGACCGTTTTAAACATTGCCATTTCTAATATGTAATATGTTCGCGCGTTGATTGGCGATTTGCTATTCGCCGCCGCGGCCCGCGATGCCCGGCACACGCCGGGGATGGAGGCAGAATCTGATGGAGGTGGCTGGTGTTGGCGTTGCTCCAAACAGCGCCCGAGAGAGAGACGCGCGCGCTCTGAGCTCCGGTGGGAGGGGGAGCATGAGGTGGGTCATACGGTGTGAGCATTGCTAATGAGTCGTGGTGGCGGTGGTGCACCAAAAATCAGTTCTCGTGATGTCGAAGTGGTCGGAAGACGAGTGTCAGTTCACATTTTGATCTTAGGCTGTTTTATGAGGACCGGTGCGTTATGCTGCACCGGTGTACCGCCAATACATTCATTTACTGAACCACAAAAAATACACAGCACGCGAAACGGACAATCGGGACATCCTGTTTGATTTCGTAAGGTTTCGGCGTCGTTCGTGTAATGTACATTCACCTCGATTGTAAGGATTGTAGATTGGGTGGTTGAAAAATCCATGAATAATTAAATTTGTACAGCTACAGAAAAATACCGAGCTGTGGCAAGCGCCGCACATTGACTTGGCCCTTCTTGCCGCGTGTACGCTGTGCCGCTGAGCCACCGTCAGTAATATCTCAAAGCCAAAGCTTACTGGGGGGGGGGGGGGCGCCTTTGGACCAGGTCCATGGCGTGCCGGAATTGGCACAACGTCGGTGCGTTTACTGCGTTCCACGAAAACACTCATGGCACGGGCTCTTGTGTTTCCATTCCCTCTTGGTGACCTAGAAATATGATTTGCCTCCTTTGAATTTCAATTAAATTTCGGGGAAATGTTCACTTGAGAAAAAAGAAAAACAAGTTGTTGTTCCCCCCCCCCCCCCCCATTTTTCCTGGACTTCAAGTACGTACGTCGAACTTCTTTCGCATCGCACGTAGCCAACCGTGATTATTATCGGAGGTGCGGGGAGAGCTGTTGCTTCCTTACAACCTGGCGCGTCGTGAATTGGCCCACTTCGCCCACTGGGGGAGGCTCGGGACGAGCCCTGCACTTGAATCAATTGCCATTTGTGATGTTGGCGCGCGTTCGGTGTTTTGCGATTTGCCTCGCGTGATTCCTGTCGACTTGAACTGCACATCCGCCGCGCGATCCCCGCTCCGCTCCAACTCACTTTTGAAAGCGTCGCGCGCACCGCGTCTTGCTCACGCGCACGAAGAAAGTGAAAGGACAGTGAGCGCCGTGCGAGTGGTACATTTTTTTTTCACGTCGTTTTAATTTTACGCGCAGTCGCCGGCGAACTGCGGACGAGCGGGGAAGGTGGCAGCCGGGCGGCGTGCCGGCACTACCAGCATTTGCTCCTAGCTCTGCAGTCCTCTGTATATTAAGATATTTTCAGACAATTAAGGAGTGTTTATGTATGTGAGAGGAAACCAGAGCACCCCAAGGAAAGGTCACGTGTGCCAGGGGGCAAAGCTGTCTCCCATACTAAACGGGGCATATTGTTTTCATCCACGTGAGAACCGCCTTCTCCTGGCGAGCCAGAGTACACCATCTCCTCGACGCCCACGGCATGGGAGTTTTTGGCGACATTTGTACGATTCACCAACCCTCGCTGCTGCCTCCACATTGCCGGATCACAGGCCGCGTGCGTCGGCCGCCGCCTGGCTCGTTCACGCGTCGCGTCGAATTACGGCGGCCAAGACTAGAATGCGGGGGCACTGCAATGAAAGCCCTTCGCGGCGTGCTCACCTTCACTGCCATCGGATTGCCGGGTCCGCGTCGCTCAGCGACGGGGTCGTGCGCGCGTGCGTGTGTGTGTGACGTGCGCAGACGAGCGCGAGGAGGTGCAGAAGAAGACCTTCACCAAGTGGGTGAACTCGCACCTATCGCGCGTCTCCTGCCGCATCAGCGACCTCTACGCCGACCTGCGCGACGGGCGAATGCTCATCAAGCTGCTCGAGGTCCTCTCCGGCGAGCGCCTGGTCAGTCGTGTCGTCGGCTCCTTCCCCTCGCGCCGTCGTTCGTCTGCGTTCCCCCAGAGGGGGCTACGTCGCACACACGTGTGTGTGCGACGCTTTAGACGCGCGTGTGTGGGATGCTTTAGACACACACGTGTGTGTGCGACGAGCGCGCTATGTGAACTCACGAGCCGGTCGGCTCGGTGAGTTTGCATTTACTTATCTCTTAATCAGGTTCACCTCTCGGCATCCCTTACACATGTTCAACGATGTAGAAGAAATGTCGATGCCACCTTTTTGACAGTCTCAAGAATGATGAAAAATAAGATAGGTTTTACCCTTTCTGGCAATGAAACAGGAGTTGTGTCACGATATTCAAACACCAAAATAGACAACTTTTTGCAAGGCATTAACCGCACACAGCACTTGTGGTGAACATGCAAACAAACACACTCTGATAATATGATGGGCATTGCCCTTGAAACTGATTGGCCTACACCAGAGACAGCCGCCATCTTCATGGCCTAGTCTCACCACCAGTGTCAGATCGGAGAACGCCAGCAGGCGAACGGTACAAAGACAATGCCACACGTGTCGGAGCATTTATAGCCGGGGGGGTTGAGCGGCTATTTTATTTTATTGCCAGAAGGGGTAAAACCCCCCTTCTTATTTTCCATACTCACGAGTAACATCTTGACGCAACATCCAGGGCTATGGCAGCAATCGGTGTTTGTGGAAGAAAGGAACAAAAAGTTAAAAGTTCGCAAAGAAGCACGGGGGAGGTGCGTCCGTTGAAGAATACCGGGAGACAGGAAGAGGAGCGCGCGGATTAAAGAACTGACGCGCAGGCTGGAGGCTTCGTAGTCACTGTTAGGAAAAGCGAGTGGCCTTGGGCGTGACGCGCCGCTCGCAGGGACGATGGCCGTGGGCCGAGACCGACGGCGGAGCGGTAGCCAGGGGGGAGGGGAACGCGCTCGAGTGAGTGGCACGAGCGACGCGGAGACGGAGCGACGCGGAGACGGAGCGACGACGTCAGCTCGGTGGATTGAGAGATGGGGAAGCGGTGACTCATCAGGACCAATGTCGATGATAATGATGGTCATTTTACTTGTTTCTCACGTGGCAGTAATAATCGCAAGCACTGTTGGAATGTGCAGATTGTACGGCGCACTGCAATGCGAAGCATGTTCACTGCGCCGCAGATTGGCTTCTTCATTTCTGCCTGACGGCCCCGTCAGCTGCCTGCAGGGCACACCGGGTAGCCTTCATATCCGGCAGCCAAAGACAAAGATCTCTCATGTAGCCTTTAACAGACTGTTGGGGCAAGCACTGTTAGCATACCTGTCAACCCCTTATCAGTGCCTACCTTACTACAGACCAATTCAGACCTTAATGGTCACTCCATGCCCTTATAAATCTCAACGTGCATCCTACAAAGTCCCATCATGAGGGAGAAACACAAACAAATAGACACTTTTTTGCCCCTTTATTGAAACGGCTGTAAGCCGTCTGCACCTGAAAACTCAATTTCCCTGTACAAGAATATGGGTAAACTGTATGGGTTGACAGGTTTGTGTTAGCTTGTGGCACCTATGCAGGCCAGTACAGCACACGAGGGGGTGGGTGGCCAGCACCACGCCCGGCCGCCTTTGTCTCTCTCGTGACGAAGTTTAGTTTACACATCGCACCAGGTACTCATTTGAGTTTGAGTCGGCCTAGGGGATGCCCAGGACCGGTTCCGATAATCGTTACTGGTGTTCACCGTGAGCGGTGATCCAACTATGGTTGCCGGGTTCGTAACACAGCGCGCTAACCGCTCTGCCACCGCTCTCCAATTGCACACATGCGTGCACGCAAACCATATATACACGCACGCATGCACACACAAATGTGTACAACACGCACGTACATGCACACAAACATATAGCATACACAAACGCACGCGCATGCATACACACAGGCACACAACCATGTATACATGCGCGCACATACAATGCGGATATGCACACACGCACGTGCGCACGTACGCAAACACACACCGGCACGCAGGCTGCACAAAGGCCTCTTGTTTCATTGTACATTCCCTGCCGCGGTCAACTTTGCAAATATGAGTTACAGCGTCCAGTACATAAAGAGCCTTTTCAGGATTGCATTCTCTGCGCGAGGGTTTTTGTAGAACTGGAGTGCTTCCTGGTGCTTCGCGACAGCCTGCGGTTGACATTTCGGATGTTCGCATGAGCACAGCAGTGCGGTCCCAGTAAACGTCACAACGTTGGGTCAACCTTGTCGCGTTTACCGGGGTACAACCCGTAAAAACCCATACAAAAGAGGCGTGCGTTGTACAAGCGTTGTGCTGTTGTGTGCCAACGCTCCGCAAGAAACCACAGGACAAATAGACTCGCGCGACCTTCCCGGTTGCAGAAGAATCCATTGTGAGGTCGCAAGTCGAGAGTGTACAGCTGACTGGGACAGTTTGCGACTTGAAGCCGCAGTTCGGAGTCCCATGTCCCCTCTGGGTGCACCGCGGTGGCGACATGTTAACTACCTCGCCCGGTGTACAGGAGGTCGTGGCTTCGAACACCTGCTGTATATTTGGAGTTTGCATGGTTCTCCCCGTGGTTGCGTAGATTTTTTTTACGGGTCCTTTGGTTTTCCGCTCCACATTTAGAATTAACGTCACGCGTTTAGAGTATTTAGCTGCGATACGTTTCCACGTGAGAAGCCACTTCATTGGGCTATGATTTGTGATAGCCAGAAAGAGCTCCATAGCTCAGTAGACCCTACTTGCTGAAATAAAAACATAGTTAATAGTTTAAAATAGTTTTTTATCAATAAAATTTGAACTACATTTTGGATTACACGACTAACAGTGGTGCTGCTGGGAGTTGTCACGTTGATGATTCAACGAACCTTTTATACGCAAAGCAACACGTTTATAAAAACTATATATATATATAACAACAGAGGTTATTTTTTATGCATCTGACACTGGGAAAGAAAGGGAGATCTTGGATGTGTGGGCCGACTGGCCTACTTTTTGGGGAAGACAGGTAGTCCTCGATTAACACGATAGATGCATTCTTGAAAATCTTCATGTAAAAGTGAAATGGTGATTTGACGCTTTCGTGACTGCAGGAATCCATATTCTTTGGTTCTTTCAGTAAAGTCACATAGGTATAAAATAAAATAAATCACGACGTTTCGGGTGCTTGTATTGCGTAACTTTACCGAAAGAACCAAAGAGTAGTGAAATCATCTAAATGGGGGGGGGGGGGGGGGGGGGGGGGGGGGTTGCGTTCCAAGCTTCCAACTCGATTGACAAATATATAATTGTTACCCGTTTATTATGGCTATGCGTTGGTTAACACTTTTTTTTATTGTTGCCTTTTTATGCATGAACAACATTTAAGGGGAAAATGAACAATTTATAAACGTAACCTAAAGCAACGGACACTGTTGTCTGCGCGTGTGAGCTGCGACGAGTTTGCCCCCGAGGCGTCGCGCTCCTTAAACGACGTGTCTTGTCGTGTGCAGCCGAAGCCCACGAAGGGCAAGATGCGGATCCACTGCCTGGAGAACGTGGAGAAGGCCCTGCAGTTCCTCAAGGAGCAGCGCGTCCACCTCGAGAACATGGGCTCCCACGACATTGTCGACGGCAACCACCGCCTCACGCTCGGCCTCATCTGGACCATCATCCTCCGCTTCCAGGTGAGACCCCGTCAACTCGCAACATCGGAATCGGAGGTTCATTTGCGCGTAGTCGTAATAATCAGGGCTCTCGCCACCAATGTAATCCATAATAAAGTGGGGGGGGGGGGGGGTTTGTTGGCTTGGATCGCAAATTGTATAAATACGTGCCAATTAGTAAGGTTTGTCACGTAAACAAAACGTGTTAATTCGTAACTGGTAACTTGTCAAGGAAACAAAACATGCCAATTAGTTACTACAATTATTTACTTATATACTTACATACCAATTACTTATCCTGACAAGGCTCTTTCTGTAATGGATGCTGTTGACTGCAGCAGGGAAAGTACCATGAAACAAGATGCCTTTGTACAGCTTGCGTGCCGGTGTGTGTTTGCGTACGTGTGCACGTGCGTGTGTGCGTATCCGCAGTGTTACTAGTAACTAAGAGTGTTACTTAGTAACTATAAGTTACTTGTAACTAATTGGCATTTTTTGTTTACGTGATAAACATTTCTAATTGGCTGTGTTGGGCGGTGGCGGGTTTAGCGACGCATTGATATTCACACAGTCTAACCCAAAAGGAAACCCTCTGTTATGGATGAAGTTGATTATTCGAGTATTTAACCCATTGAGCTCTGTTTCACGGGTGACTCGGCCAGCAGGGGCGCGACTCCGCCCTTCCTCGCGTTCCCAGACGCCTCTGCTGCCGCGACTGCTGCCGCGACTGCTGCTGCTGCTCTTACGAGCCGTGTGCGTTTTGTGAGCACAGCGGGAAGCACGTGCGGTGTGCGGCAAAGTGCGGTGGATGCTCAACATGCCCGGCCGGCACGGAAGAGTAGGCCAAATACCATCTCAAAGGCTATCTCTCTCTGGAGCTCGAGTTCCCTTCAACTGAAGGTGGTCGAGCGAGCCATTGCAGGGCTGCCTTTTAAACAGCTTTACAACCTTTACCTTTGAAATGCTTTATAGCTCATCGGATTCCTCCAGTGGAATTGCATATTGTGACACCTGCTGTATATTTTGAGTTTGCGTGTCTCTGTCTCCGTGGTCGAGATTTTTTTTCCTCCAGGTCCTCCGGTTTTGTCCCGCCACATTTAGAATCGACATCGCACGTTTAGAGTATTTGGCTGATCAGAAATGTCCACGCGATAAGCCACTCTGTGAATGAAAAAATGTATTTCTTCCCAAAAATTGGGTGTACACTTTTTCTGTCAAGGTCCGGTGTTTTAAAGTCACAAAAAAAGGAACGTAGCATGGAACAGAGGCGTCCATTGTTTTAGCATCAAGGGGCAGATTGACAAACATCGTGAGAGCTGTGGGATGCAGACATGGCGCCACACAGTAAGTGCAGCGAAGAGACAGATTCAGAAGTGATTTGCCGCGGGGAGATGAGAGAGCTCTATTCGGAAGAGAAATGCGAGATCGATAGTCGGTATATTACACGAAAATGGATGGATAGATATAAGCGAGATGAACGCCGAGGAGGGCGGTGAGGCCAATAGGAATAAGGCGATTACAGGAGAGCGGCACAAGTGAATTGATGTTTGTATGAGCCATCGAACAAACACGGTCACTGCATCACGTGGCACTTTCAAATGCGGTTCTGCGGTCATCGATATTAGAAAGCCACTGGGGCTAGGCACTGTTAATTCAAAATTGAAAACTCATTTCTTTAGAACTGCTTTTTGCGTTAGGTTTGTCCTTCACCCCGCTCCTCTGATTAGCATGGTTGGCTACGCACGGTATGAAAGAAGTTCAACATACGTACAGAAGAGAGATGTGCGTGAGATAGGAGAGAGACGCATTCAGGAGAGAGGCAAAGAGAGAGGGACACGGAGATATACACTGGGAAAAACAGAGGCACGTGGAGAGACATGAGAGAAAGGGGACAGATGGGAGAAATGGAAGAGAGAGGAGAGAGAGGAGAGAGGAGAGAGAGGAGAGAGAGAACAGAGATGTGCAACCACATTCTCAATGTTCACTCTGCCAGGCCCACACCCCCAACCATCACCGCGGAGCGCACGCACGGTGACTCAGATCACCGAATCGTTTCACGTGGCCCTGTGAGATGATGAACTTCATACCTTTCCATTTTAAAGCCGTGGCGAGAGGCATTCCTCATTCCTCACTTGTGTGTTTGAGTGACGGGGTGGGAGATGAGCCGGCGCCACCGCCCCTGCCGCCGCCGGTCGTCGCGTTTGGCCCCCGGAGGGGGGGGGGGCACCGTTGCCCGGATGGCCCCGGTGGAGGTGAGAGGCCGATCCGGTGGTAACCGACCGAGAGAGAACGATACCGGCGATGAGAGCAATCCTTCTGTGCCACTGGCCGTGCCACTCTATTTAAATATTACTATTCTTATTTTACCAGGTAAGTCCCACTGAATTACGTAGTTGTTTTTCGGAAGCGACCTGGCCACAAATGATAGCGCAACGAAGTGACTTATTGCGTGGAAATTTACCGCAGTCAAATACTCTCTAGAAATGCGTCTCTTAATGTGGAGGGAAAAGCCGCAGTACCCGGAGAAAGCTCCACACGACCACGAGGAGAGAGGGAGAGACGTGCAAACTCCAAATATACAGGCAGCAGGCAGGGTTGGGATCAAAATCACGACCTCCTGTACACCAGGCGAGGCCATTAACATCGCCTTGCCACCACGACGCCCTCACTCAACCACGCCGCACGTGGCACCGCGGCCAGGGCGCGACAGACAACAACCTGTGAGGAACAGGAGGAAGCGTCTCCGTCAGGGGAGGGTGGTGGGAGCAGTGGGGGTTTGCATCTTCCACGCTGAGGAGCTGATTGCTGCCATCCCTGGATCTTGTGTCAAAATGTTACTCGCGAGTATGAAAAATAAGAAAGGGGGTTTTACTCCTTCTGACATGAAAACAAAATAGCTGCTCAACCTCCGAGCTATATATGCTGTCTCTGGTGTAGGCCATTCAGTTTCTAAGTAAAATGCAAATATAATTATCGGAGCGAGTTTGGTTGCATGTTTTGCCACAAGTACTGTGTGTGGTTAATGCAGACTTTAATCCTTGCAAAAGGTTTCTATTTGGTGTTTGAACATGTTAACACAGCTTCTGTTTTATTGCCAGAATGGGTAAACCCTATTCTTGTTTTCCATACTTCCAATTTCTCTGAAAAACTAAATCAATTGGTATATTTAATTGCCCTCGTGACAACTTGATTCGATTGGCTGTCGGGTGGTGGATGGTTATACAACCGACACGCTCGAACCCAAAAATAAACGAATTAAGAATCGTCCGTCACATTTGTCGTGAGAGCCCATGGGAGCTCGAGCGCTCATTTCTCCGTCTCCCGCTGGGTTCTCGCCCAATATTTTTTGAGGCCGCTCCGACCACGCGGTCACAGCGGGGTCACCTCGGCCGCGGCTTGCGGGGGAGCGCAACAGCTTCTGGCCGTCTGAAGAGAATGATGGGAGACTTCGCTGGGGAGCTGCGAGGTCGTGGGGAGGAGATAGAGAGAGGGGAGGAGGGGGGGAGCCCTGCCAGATGTCTGGTTCCACTGAGTGGGTTGGTGGGGAGTGGCGGTGCAGCGGTTTACGTGGCACGCTACGTATCCGGCGTCCCAAGTTCGATTCCCACTCACGGCCAACACCAGTGACGATTATTTGAACCGGTCCTGGGCCTCCGCTACGTCGACTTAGCCTCAAATGAGTGCCTGGTGCGGTGTGTGAACATCGCCACTGGGAAGACAAAGGCGGCCAGGCGTGGTTTTGGCCACTCACCCCCTCGTGCGCCGTGTCAGCCTTCATCGGTGCTCACTTACAGCGCTTGCCCCAACAGTCTGTTAAGGCTATACGGGGGATCTTTGTCTTTGTGGGTGGGAGGGTGACTGGCTGCCCCTGTGAGGCAGCACAGCGTTCATCCTTTGTGAATTGCAAATAACGCTGCGTTCGTGCCATGCTTTACACACAGCATTGTTATAAATACACATTAGCTTGTCGTAAATTCACCGGGCTTTCTCGGTATCTTCGTTATCCCCTCTCCTAAATTCAACGCTTATATATATACACCTTGAAAATGACACGTGGTGTGCAACGTTTGACCGGGAACATCCATAGCAGGTACAGAAAGCCAGCGAATTAAGTGCAAAAGCAATTTGAACCGTTGCAAGTAGCTGGGAGGAATATCTATTGCAACGTTATTGATGAACATCATGGACAGAGCTAAACGTATGCATGCATTATGTTGAACTTCTGCGTGCACGGTACGCAGCCAACCGTACTAATCGGAGGTATGGGGAAAGGACAACAAACTATGCAATGAAATGAAGGCCATGTGATTGCAGACATTTTTGAGACAGGACTCCTGGCACATAGAGAGAGAAGTGCGACAAGCAATGTTGAAGTCCTGGGGTGACACTCGACACCTACGGTTCCCGGGGACGTGAAAGGCTCCGTGTCACACGTGTGAGAACACGTCCAGCAGGCTCCGTTCATACCCAACCACTGCGCATCACCGATCAAAGCCTCCCCCGGCTGCTGTGGACTGACAAGAGCCCATTGAGATGGCGCGGCTCTTTTTACGAGATGAACATTCTGGCACGTAGCAGCAGGCTTTCGTGACCAACAATAATATCCATAATAAGAGTTATTTTGCGTTATATTGAGTAAATATAAATGTCTCGTTAAACCCGCCACCGGCCGACACAGCCAATTAGTAAGGCCCGATGAAGTGAATTTTGCCCGGTGAAAATGGATTTAATTACCAGCTAAATGTCGTACTCAAACTGTAAATGTTTTGGGTTTACTCTCCAACACGCCGGTGTGCTGAACTAGTAAATAATTGCCAGTTTTTGTTTCTGTGACAAACCTTTCGAATTGGTTGTGTCAGATGGTGGTGGGTTAACGACACGTCTGTATTTGCACGATCTAACCCAAAATGACTTTCATTTTGAGAGGAATATTCTCAAGTACACATCCATCACAAGCCGTGAACGAATCCGAACAAAAACTTGAAACGAAACACCATGTGAGGAAGTTAAGAGACAAAAAC